CGCTTATGTTCCTCCCGATATCTGGGGGATCTTACATCTCCAGTTTCCCGACTAAGTATATACTATTGCAGGTGAACCGTTGGAGTCTAAACGGAGATTGTTTCTGAGCCGTGTACAGGGCTGGGGGGTATAGTGGACTGCCAGGGTAGCAAAGCAGATGCGAGAAACGAGAGGGATTTAGATACTACAGCGACTCAACAGAAGTGTTCATAATCCCAGACCTTGTGATTTCGCAAAATTGGCCCCGGAGTCGGGGAGGATAGTGTGATCTCGAGTTTGCGAGCTATCAACGATCAGCCCGCGAGAACAATGGAGAAATTAAAAGAAACAATACTAGCTAATTTCGCAATGCTACTGATTGCTCAGAACACCCCTCGAGTTAAAAGAAGATAGTGAGCCGTGGTCAGTTGTGGTGGCTCCAGGAATGTTGTATGATTCATGCCATCCAAAATCTGCTCGAAGCATTACCATTTTTAAATAAATATACAACGCCACCACGCTAAAATATTTACTCAAAAAAAAAAAAAGACTCCAGATTACTGAAACGGTGGGGAGAATAATTTGGAAGTTTTTCTGAAGCGGCCGGAGGTTTTAACAGATATAATTGATCGAAAGCTCGCAGCCTGGTGTAGGTTTTGAATGGCTCGAACCATAGGTGGTTTATTTTTTTCTAGATCTATGGTAATTTACCGGGAAGGTTCTCCTAACCTTACTCTCCCTTGTGGTCATGGGACTGGGCAAGGAAATGGGAACATGCACCGGGGAAAAGAGATATAACTGGTATCCATGGAAAGATCGGGATGAATTTGTCATGTTTTATATATGTCCCCGCCCCCACTGTTAGCCTAGAGAGTGCCGAACAAGGAAACGAAGCCCATGTTTATACCTTTCCTATAGCTACTCCATAATGCTCAATTTCCATCCGATCCCGCTCACCGCACTGCTGTCGCCCGGTATATGTCAAGGGGCCCAAGAGAAGAGTACTAGTATATGACCGGGAAGAAGAATATTACAAAGTGATGGACGCGCACATGTCCCAGTCCAGAAATTTTCCACTCTTGTCCAGGGCCGTCCAATAGTTCGAACAACCAGGGCAAAGTTCTAGAAACAGAAGAAAAAGGAAATTCCCAAACTCTTCTCAATAGCAGTCATGTCTCCTCCGGATATTTTTAGAGTTTATTTCTCGGGCGCACACATTTCCAGACCCATTACCCACTGCTCAAAGGAAGCATGAGGACTGAACATAGATGATAGCACTCTCACCAGAGGGTTTCAGGAAAAAATCACAATCAATTGCGTTAGTCGAGGATTTTGGAGAGGGAAGCTCAGGAATTTGAGACAGGTTTCATTTTAGACTTCGGCCGAGTGACTGTATGAAATCACCCATTAACGAAGAACCCGATATCCAGTTTCCCGGGGGCCTACCTGTAAGCTCCGGGAGTAGATATACCTCAAAGGAAAGGGAAATTCCAAAAGGTGGTCACTGATCGCCACCAAGGCCCCTCCTTGTTCAACACAGTAATCACAACCCAAATAGATAGATAAATGAGGAATAATAGAACAAATGTTTAAGTCGCTGGACCGTGCCCCCTCAATTAAGGTCTCATGTTTTTTCTTTTTTTCTTTCTTGTTCTTCACACCTTCCAGAGGGGCCAAGAATCTCCCTCTCGCCCCCCCCCCCCCAGTCGCCCGACTGAGCTAGTCCTGGGTTTTTCTTTTATGGACACCATACCACCATTCCTCCCCTTAGTTTTTTTTACCTATTCCCCACCTCCACTCCCATTCCAACCTGCAGCAGTAAATCGAGTTCTGATGTGCGCCTATCCCGGTGCAGCCTTCCGTCACCCCAGTCCTGACCCCGTCTTGGACCGGAAGCACCGCCGTACCTTCCGCCCCCTTTCCAAAAGCAGGTAAATTCTAGACCGCGCAGCACACAGCCGATCATTCCAGTTTCTACACACACGAGTGGACGACCCCGTCCAGGGGATTACCCAACACACCAGGTTCGAAACCTCTCCAAACCACTTTCCCCATCCACGACTCGGGACAAATGCCAAACCCGAGTGACTCCACATGACTAACCATGTCGCCGAAAGGAGAAAAAAATCCCACCACCCACCCCCAAGCTACACAAGCCGTGCAACCTGCCACAACAGACGAAATCTCAATCACCTTCTGCCGAACCCTCCCGCCGACATTGGTGAAACTGAGCCGTACGCAGGCAGGCGAACACATAACGATATGTCCGGCTAGTTGGTCGGTTGGTCGGTTTATGGGTTACTCTCTCCATGTTACGTAACGTGTTTAGGCTATGTGCAGGTATTATACGTATTCGTGTGGTGCATGTCTCCGCTTGCGCACGTCTCTTGTTTTTCTCTGCTCGAAATTTCGAGGGGATTTTCGAGAAATTAGGTAAAGGGGGTATTATTTGTTATGCCTGCTCGCAGGTCTGGTGAAGGGGATTATACTTTGGGAATTTAGTCTCAGGGGAACCCTTGCGACGAGAATTGGTACGAACCCCCCTGTTAGTGCTCAAGCCCATGGGTATGAAAAATAGCATACCAAGACCTGGTTTTACAGCTCGGGAAACTTACGAATGGACGAAGGAAGAGTCTCGCAGTCTCGAAATCAATCTCACTCGATCCCTATGAGCCAGGCGCAACACCACGCGGCAAGCGACATGAAAACGTTTTAGACCTGTCAAAGGGGGAATTGCTCTGACAGCTCTTTCTATGCCAATTCCTTCCATCTTCCCGGCCATAACTTGGGCGCACGAGTCACGCGTTGCTTGAGAGTTGTGATACGTGATTGGGAAGGCGGCTGGCTGCTGCCTTGCCATTCCAAGAGAGAGAGAAAAGCCCAGTCAGCCGAAGCTTATCCAGCAGAACACCGTATTCAACTCTACAGAGTGACAGCCCATGACAGCACAACTCCCACTTCGGCAAAAGGGCAATCAGCACGTTCCAAGCGCATATCATGCAACACCGTTATCGGTAAAACTCAGTTCGCGCCACGAACTCAACAGCCCCTTTTTAAAAATTCATAATACTCAAATGGACATAACTTATATAATAATGCAGTCCAACGCTGGATCGTAAGGTATGGTAACCCGCGTGTCGTCACTGCACCACCACCACCACTATTACTATTACGGCCACACTCGTATCATACTTCCCACCCGTTGGCGGGAGAATGTTCCCAGCATCTGCTTAAAACAGTAGACTATACCGTGGTCAGATAATCGGTCAACGACCAGAAACCCGTCTGTCTCTGTAGGTTATGCGCACACAAACGGCACCACCGTACAGTACAGCAAGTGTACCACCACCAACCACAAGAGCGGGAAGAGAAATACAAATCTCACAAGTAATTAACCTAAGTTTACCCTAACAGTTCGCTCCCGCCCCAAACTTGTAGACTAATTGTCAGAAGAAGAAGAAAAAAAAAGGAGAAAAGGAGCAGGAGCAAACGTATTATCACACTCCCACTCCCAATTCGAATAGTGCGGTAAAGCCCTACTCGATAGTGATATGGAGCAAGGCGTCTAAAGCGTGTATCGCACCGCACCACGGTGGGGCTTGTAACGTCCGTATTTGTAAAAGGGTATCATACTAATTCTAAATACAAGTCCAATGATCAACTCGGTCCTTATCAATTGGTGTATACCATAATAATACGGAACTGAAATATCTGTTAAATCAAACCAGATCCGTCATGATACCGAGTTTATCACCCAACAATAATAACAAAAACTCAATATCGAACCCCCACTTCTTTTTATTTTATTTTTCTTTTACAAATACAGGGGGCGTTACACACCGGTTCACCCACCGTGATACAAGTTACGTACAGTGCAGTACAGTACAGTACTAGGCTTTGTAGATACCGTACTTCGCACTCACTATCCTACCGGCACTTTCTTCGGACAGCAGACCAGCACAGCGCACGACAACCGGGATACTCAGATACTGAATTACCGGTGCAGTACTACGGTAGTACTGTACGAGTACAGGTACAGCTGGACATCACACCCCGTCGCATTCTCATCCATATGTAATATAAGCTTGCCGTGCCGTTCACAAGATGTGTGCGCAACAACACAAGTACCGTATGATATCATACATACCGCGCTGAACGGTTGGGGGGGGGGTGGGCATGGGTTAAGTTACACAAGAAGTTAGTTGCCCTCCGCGAAGAACTGTAAGTTACAGTTATATAACTTGTGATAATACCTTTTCCATTTCATCGACTAAATAAAAATTAAAAAAAAAAAAGGTGATTTAGCATATCCGAGGCGTTATACACACCTATTTCAAGCTGTGAGTGCACACGCACACATACGGTAGAGGGAGACTGGGCAAGGCCTGCGATAGGCGGCCGGGAGAAGGGAAATTCCACGCCTCAAACTATTCGGGGAGAACTGAACGGAAGCAAAAAAAAAAAAATCCCATACTTTTTCGTGCCGGCGGATTTTCTCTCTTCCGGGTAATGATATCCTCGTGGGACTTCACTTTCACAGTATGATGCGTTTTTGGCCCCCTGTCTGAGCACCAGACTTTATCCTATCATCCCTCTCGCTGCTGGTAGCGATAATCGAGTGATACGGTATGACTTCTCGGATGCTGATGAGTGAACTGGCCGGGTCGAGCGAAACAGAACTATACTGGTATCGTACCGGTATCGCCAAAGTAACTATATGGCATGAGGGAAGCCAATCAATTGTACAAGGAACCAATATCATACACTATCATACACCCCCCCCACCTCCCCACTTCCGTTCCAGCGAATCCGCTCACCCAGATACTCGGCCGCGCTAGTGGAGTACCGGTACTACGGCGTAATCCCCCACCCTTCCCCGATCGCTCAGAAGTCCGTCTCATCCTACATAATAATATTACTATTATAACCCACGCAGAATCCCGACAGATGCGCAGGGCTAGCGGAAACGATATTAATACGATACGATTAAGCCCTGCAGATCAATCGAAGCCGAAACCATATGATATCACCACCCACCGCGGGACCAAATAACCCCGTGATAAGCTTAAAATGTATGATACCCTACAAAATCGGAATTTACGCCGAAACCGCTTCAAAACAAGAAATTCACCCATCCGTCCATCCATCAAGCATAAATATATTCTCTATACAGATACCATACTCAAACTCAAGGTGCGCATCTCCCTCCCCCCACGCCGCGGCACCCATTCCCGCTAAGGCGGACAGTCGCGACAATGCAGAAAGCTGGAAGCGTAGGTAGAGTGGGGGGGGTGGGAATCACATCGTATCATAGCTAGCCTTAAAAAAGCCCCACCACCATTCCCGAAAACCACAAAAAGGAAAGAAAAGCTCAAACAAAAACCCAGTTTTTTTATATATATCAAAAATGGCAAGGGTAAAACTAGCGAAAGCCACTGTTTTATAAGAGAAACTCAGAATGGAGCGGAACGAAATGTCCTCGCAAACGTCAGGCAGTAAAAAAATACAGCAAGAAATTAGATATTCAAAGAGAGAAAATATTAGGAGGAATGTCACCATTGAGGAGCATTGATGATTATTCCCATGAGACAACCGGAGATGATTCCGGCGATAGGGAGGGTAAGGACCCAACCGGCATAACTATGAAATACGTTAGTACCCATTGCAACCTCAAGACCTAGCGAATGGGAATACATACCACCAGGCAACCATCCTCCAGTTAAGCGCCTTAAAGTCACCATTGCAGAGCGCGACACCCATAGTTGCGCCGACGATACACTGAGTTGTGGAAATCGGCAGGGCAAGACGAGTAGCAAGGACAACGGTAACGGCGGAACCCAACTCCATAGAGAAACCACGCGAAGGGGATTGCAGAGTCAAGCGATTACCGAGATTGCGCATGATGTTGTATCCGTAAGTCCACAAACCAATGACGATAGCAGCACCACCATAGGCAAGAACCCAAATCGGGACGTGAGCCTTCTTGTTGGCGACACCTGTGTTCCAGACGAGGTAGATTGTAGCGAGGGGACCGGTAGCATTGGCAACGTCGTTAGCACCGTGAGCGAAGGATGCGGTGGCAGCAGTGAGAATCTGGAGGAAGGAGTAGAGGTGCTCAGTCTTATTGTCGAATCGCGTGGCACGGGCATGCATGTCGTTGATGTTCCCGGTAAGTTTCGAATTGCGGCCCTGCTCGGAGATGACGTCGACACGGACACCGTGGAGGGCGGCATCAACCATGATCTTCCAAAGGTTCTTGGGAGCGTACCAGGGGCCCGCATCTGCACGCTCAACCTCGTCAAGGGTCTTTGAGTTAGCGCCAGTCTCCTTTTGAACGGCAAGGTCGTCCGAGTGCGTGTCTGCGCGGGCAGCCTCCATCTCGGTGACTGTGGACGGCTTGATGTTTGCGGCCTCGAGGTCAGCTCTGGTGGCCTTTCCACGGTAGTAATCCTGTACAATCTGGGTTTGGGCTCCCTCTGGCGCCTCTGGGACGGGTCCACGGTGAAGAAGAAGAGGGCCGTAGAAAATGTCGTACCACCTCAAAGTCCAGTCTTCCTGGATGAGCTTCCTGTGGAGGAAGGGGAGGAAGAATGTGATAATGAGAAGAGCGACACCGCCGGCAACGCCGAAAATGCATCCTGCGATTTGTCCGCCACTCCAGTCGTCAAGGTCGAGCGAGGCAGCCTGTAAACAAAGTTTAGAGCTTGCAAGAAAAAGAAAAAAGACCTAATACCTCACCCAAGGGAGTTACTTACACCTTTCCAAACGATAAGCATGGTCAAGATACCAGAGGTGATGGCAAAGTAGACCGGCACCATTATGAAACCCCACTTGAGAGGCTCACTGCGCTTGAGCACACCATACTTGGTGATCAAGAAAATGATTGCGGCAAAGGCACCAGATATACCGGGCGCAATAATCCAAGATGCAAAGATTTGAGAGACACCCTTGCCTTCCCATTCCCAAACAACGCCATGAACTCCAAGAGATGCAATGCCCATACCAATGACACCACCAACGATACAATGCCTAGCACCCAGCAGCCGCCATCAGCATCAGTCAAAAGCCCGGGGATTTCCCATTTCATCCAGCTACTCACGTTGTCGACACAGGCAAACCCATTGCCGTAGCTGCCGTGAGCCATGTGGAGGAACCGATCAAAGCGCACACCATGCCCAACATGAGAATACCAGGATGGTCGATGAATTTGTCCACCTTGACTGTTTACAATGCCGCTGCTATCAGCCCTATCACTCCGCCTAAACAAACATTGGAAGAAAGGGAGCCAGAGAAATGATATCAAATCGTAGTAGCTTATTACTCACCAATTTTACTTCTGATAGTATCCGCAACACGAGCACCAACAACAACTGCACCAGTGAATTCCATGACCGTGGCGATACACATGGCTTGCATCATAGTGAGAGACCGAGACGAGACCGAGGTAGCGAAAGAGTTGGCGACATCATTGGCACCGATATTCCACGCATCCTATCACCCGACGGCCAGTTAGCCAAAAACCCGGTTCCCGCAATGCCGTGCAGAAAAGCAATAATAAATGAAACAAGAAGTAAATAGAAATGGAGCGAAGTAAAGCAGGGCAAACGGGTGGAAAGCTTGTCATACCAAGAATGCAAATATCATGCCAATGGCAAAGATGTAGTCATATTGTGGAAGAGCTTGCATCCCGCTCTCGGTTGCGTCGAATTCTCGACGAGGATCAAGTCCGGATCAGCTGTGGGCAATGCCGAGGCTTTCTCCGATGGAGGACGAGACAATAAGTGAAAGAGCGAGGCAAACGTGGGTCTGCCGGTTTAGTCCTCAACCAGTGGGTAGGGAGTGCGATGTGTGGTATCGAGACAATGGCTGAGAAGGAGGGAGGGGGAGGGGCAGATATTTATGAGAGGACGGAGGAACCGCAACCTAAAAGAGGGCGGGGACACCAAGCTCGATAAAGGAAGGTCATCTCGTGTCTTGGATTTCTCCCATTCCTCATAGCTTTTTACTTTTTTTTCTCCTCCCTTTTTTTCCCTTTCCATGAAGAAATGTGTCAATGTTGCCAATGTTGATTGCCTTGGGGTGGAGGGTAGGGTGGCTGTTGTAGTTAGGGGGGGTTTGACCTTTTCTTGGCGCGGGATGTGAGTACTACCAAGCCTTTTTTGTAAATCAGACAAAATTTATTGTGATACAAGCACGGGTGCTGCCACCAACCAATTCGAGGCGTTCTATTGAAGAGTGGAGGAGGGTACTGTACTCGTAAGTTACGTGCAGGTAGGCAGGCACCTGGCGAATCCCACGCTGCATAACAATTCGGTCGGAGCTGTTGGCCAAGGAAAATAGCTATGATACCTCCAGTACTCGTCGCACTTGAGAGCCCACCGTGTACCGTACAGTACCGTACTCCTACCGGTATGGTACTGTACATGCGTTACGGCGCAAGTAGATAGCACCGGATTCCATCCATTTACGGTTCCTTCCTCTGAGAAGAAAAGAGTAAAATACCCTACCGGTGCCCTACTCGAGTGTATAAGGTTAGCAGAGGGGAGAGCTCGGCGCCGCCACCCTTGGCATACACGGTAACTTTGTGAAGCATAAGTTAGATCTAAACTAGAGGGAGTATTGTAGGGGAAAAAGAAAAAGGAAAAAAAGGAAAAAGGTTGAAGGGGAAAAGGAGGGGGAAAGAAACAACCCTTAACTTAAAGTTACCCTTCTCCCTTCCCTCCTCTCACATCCTCCCCTTCCGGTGGTCCCCGACACCTTGCCACTAAATTATCGCCTCAATTATGCACCAGTGCTCCAATTTGATATTTGCTATGGCAAGACTAACGAAGGCCAGCGTGATAATGTATGATTTAAAATATGCTCTCCTGTACCGCATCACTGAGTAAATTGTCGCAAATTGGAGAGAGCTTCTTCTTGCTGGTCGAGCTACTCGTACATGCCATCATACGGTACATTGCTGTGCTCTCGCAGCCTCGTTTTTCCTTCTCTTTTTGTATGGCTCCAACTTGACTCGTATCGAAGACTACCGGTAATACTCGAGTATTGCGCCCTCATGATTATCACCCAAGATTCTCACTAGAGCTGACTACCGCAAACTACCGGAACCGTACTATTCTCTACCGGAGAACCTCAGCACTGCACCACCGTCCTGCTCAAGAGGGAAATAAAAAATAATAAGAAGTTCGTTTACCCAGCACGCGGCCAGAAAAGTCCAGAAAGAAAGACCAATAGCATAAGTTTCCATAGAACGTGCTAAACCGCCACAGAACAAACCGATACCTCACACTCTCTCCCTCCCCTACCTTCCCTTCATCTTTCCCCATGCTAACGAGCTACCTAGCTACCTACCATAGTACCGTAGACCAGCCTACCTCCCCATACCAACCGGCAAAACCCACATGCTGTAAGCTGTATATGATATGCGGTACGAAACCGTAGCGCAGCCTAATCATTCGCTTACCAGACCAAGGGGACAGACAGGCAAGAAATTTTCTTTCCCCAAAACAAGTAAACAATCGACCAAAGCCCTGTCAATCCATCCTCCCCCCCGAGCAGGTGAATAGCCCACGTGGGGTACCAATCGAGCAACCGCCAGGAGGGGGGGAGCCTTTGCAGTAGAGTGAAAAGCTCCTACCGGTATCTTTAGCTCTGATTTGATCTTTTTTCGGCTCTGCCAAGGGCCAAGACTTTTATTGCTTGCGCTTTCAGCGGATGGCGTTTTATGAAGATTTTTACTGTGTCTTCTGTTCGCTTGTTTCGCTCGCTCGCTCCGGTTCGATAAAGAATTTTCTTGCCTGTCTTTCCTCTCTTCTTCACTTAAAGGGGGGGGGTTGACGCCTTGGATGCGCAATTGGCTTCGTTTGGTGTCAGGCAGATCTGGTGGGCTAGGGCACAGCATCGTACTGTAGGCAGCACCAAAATAGATCAAATCAGCGATGGTCCTTGCCCAGCGAGAGAGAGGGAGAGCGAGATTGAGAGAGGTAAATCCTGTCCCATTTCTACCAAACAATTCAAACAACGAAAGTGTAGCAAAGCGGACGATAGAGGGGCACTAGTCTATACCATAACGACATTCATCGTTGGGAATTCCACTAAACGATTCCATCCAAACCCAAAACATAAAACCCAAAACCCATGATATCTCAAACACCTCACAGCATGATACCTCCCAGCGCCGCCGAGGCGAAAAAAAAAAGAGCCAAGTTAGCCAAGAGATGCTGCCCGAACGCTCGGCTTTTATCAAAACAACCCCGCGCGCCAACAAAACAACCAGTGAAGGGAAAAAAAAGAAAAAAAGCAGCTTCCCTTTTTGGTCGCATGGGGGGAGAGGAGCACAGGTAACAGTATCTCGAGTATCGCACCCGAGCATCCATCCGCGTGGAGGAATTAGCGGAAAGCGGAGGGTTCCCCCCCACATCCCTGGAACCATACCCAGAACCCAATAAACTTCCTTAGCCTCTGAACGTGCTTTGTACAACGGGCGGGAGTTTTCGGTGTGGGAGTGATTTTGTGGGTTCAGGATTGAGGAACGTGCTCGCGGGGGCTGAGCTGATTGGCTGGTTTCAACGTCGGTCGCCAAGAACCTAGAGTTATGTATGGTACTCGAGTTGGTATTTCGCAGCAGGGTTGTTGAGACGGAGAGGTTCAGTATACGGTAGTGACTGATTGACCGATCGTGATCGTGTGGAATCGTGGAAGAGGAAGAGGCAATGTATCTCACAGTAAAGGAAATGCTGCAAGTGCGCTAAAATCAGTCGGATCAGATCGAATTGGATTCTAAGTGCTTTTTGGTTTCTGGATGGCATGGCACCGGTGCTTGTGCCCTGGACGGCGGACTTCTTTGAGAATAGCAATGCAGGTAGAACAGGAGAAACTAGGTTTGATGTTCTACTCGAGTATCAGCTCGCGTGACCTTCACAATGACTTGTTTGGCCGCGGGGGGGGGTTTCCATTCCTTCTCCTTTGGTTGCTGGAAAAGCCGGGGTCTGCCGGTACGAGTACCAGTACCCTGAATAGGGACTATCGCAACCTGATACTCTACCCCGGAACCGTCACCTAAGCACGCAGACGCCTGGAGCAGCCGATTGACGAAGATCTCGTCCCATTTCCTTACGAGGAAGAATCTTGAAATCCTGAGTGTCGGCATAGAGTTGCGGACGATAGGGCAGAGTGAGGACCAATATAGATAGACTCACAGCTGTGTGTGAGGATTCCTACGACATCACGGGCCCTTACGGAGGTACAGTGCCTAAGTTTTGTATGTTACATTCGCAGTGGGCATTTTGTTAGCAACCGGTGTAACATACAAAACTTAGGAGCTGTACCTCCGTACAGAAGAGGCCAGCTGCGCGCAAGTATCGGTAACTTGCCAAGGAATGTACAAACAGTAAGTCCCCAGAATGCCCAAATAACATACTATCCCTTCCGTACCAGCGCTCTACACAATGATACGTGACTGCCTCTATCAATTTACCAAAGCTTACAATTCCCGTGCCTCTAAGAGCTGGTGCGGCGCTCGCACGGTGTGATACTCCAGTGTAATAAAAATCGGAAAACCGTTTCTGATCAGATCCCATGAAAATCTCTTTGCAGACAAGGCTTATGTTTTCCCGACTTTTACTGGCAAATACATGGGTACAAATATTTCTTATTCCAAGCTCTCCAAAACGCCTCACCTCCACAATCCCTCGAAAACCCCACCATTCACAGGAAGCAAGTGTCAATCGATCCACACTTACATGTACTTGTACGACTGCAGCACCGTACTAGTACAGTTGTGAGCACTGTCGCAGATGAAGGAAAAAGAAAAAGAAAAAGGGAAGGGAGACCCCCTCGGGGGCCGAAACAACCGCTTGTCTTTTAACTACATCCACAGTCAAGGCAGGAGGGCTATCGCTGTTCGGTAAGTTACAGTGCCGGAGTGACACCACACAGTCAACGTGACATACCATACCAAAGCATATTGTGGTGCACACCCTCGTCTTGCTCAGAGTGGTGCACTCGATAGGCTCCTCACGATGACGGCGCCCTAGATATGATTGATAGATATCATGGACCGGCCAAGTTTAACTTGCTTGACTAACTCAGCCCTACGATAAGAGCGCTTGAGTGCTCGTACTATTCCATGTTTCCACTCCTCTTGCTGGCTGGTACAGCTTCTGTCCATGTCTCCGGTATGGCTTTAGCCGGGGTTATCCCAAACTCAATTCTCAGTTCTCACGACGAATGCTGTACTAGTACTCGAGTAGGGTACGAGTACTAGGTACTTCGTGGCACTGTGCATGGCCGTACCGGTGCTCGAGTGCTAGAGCTGGTACGGTAGGTTGGTAAGGTGCGGATGTGCAACCGATCTGTGGGGAAAGGGGGGGAAGAATAACCCCAGTAAAGATGCGGTGCATGAAGCGTTGGGCAAGCGGGAGAAAAGTGGGGGAAAAAATTAGGAAAGGTGAAACGAGAGCAATGGAATTTGCTACCCAAAGAAGCAGTCGTGAATGAAAGGGAGGGAAAAAAAAAGTAGGTATGGTACCACAGCGGCGTGGTTGATTGTACAAGTTGTTCAGGTTGGGAATAGTAGGTAAGGATCTTCGTGGGGGTTTTGGCTTGTAGTTCATGGGTTTTGGTTGGGTGGATGGAGATTGGGAATTATAATATTATTACTCTGCAGCAAGAGAGAGGGCCATTTCCTGGTCGATGGTACGGCTCGGCAATAAATTCAATACACATACATCCGTGCCGTAAGTCCTGGTCAGGGATGAATGAAGGGATGAACAAATGAATGGAGAGAGTGAGGGAGCAAGGTCCCACCATCGCTGATTAGGAGGCGAATAATATACTCGTCAT